AGCAAAGGGAAATTTCTTCAGTAAACTCTCTTAAGCATAAGTGCATAAATCAAGATTCACATATTAAGAACATTAAATCTTTTAGTCACAGAGTAGCAAACCAAAAGAGTTCAAGGTAGAAGAAGCAGGCCTAAAATCTAGGCTTACCCACATCAATGATCATTGTACAATATAATGTGATCTTGTAATAATTTGTAACATAACATTTTTGAACTGGACTATAGAAATTTCATAATGCCCACAAATAAAAATTAACTTTTTCTTAAATCAAAAATGTATTTCCAATGATACTTAGTTCTTCTCGCACTACAGCCGGTACTCGACTGCCAGGGTTTCTTCCTTTGCCCATCTAAGCATTGTAATTCGATGACGAGAAACCCACTTTGAGACTAATAATTCTTGGAGACGGCTTGAATGGGTAATGGAAAAAACTGTTATGTTATAACATTTGCTGTTAAACTACTTGTACCTGATGATGACAAAACCTTGTCGAAATGTTGTACATTTGCTGTTATGTTAAAGTTACATTAAAGTTTTTCTTCATTACCTATTCAAGCCATCTCCAAGCATTATCATCTAAGCATTGGTTTGATTATTTCTCGCTTACTCAAGTCTTTTATACCCCAGTTAATTGCCCTTGGCGACATTTGTCTCATGACACTCTCCACATACATCAATGCACCCACTATCCTGGTACTGTATATAAGTACCTCATTCATATAATGTTATCACTCTTTTGAGATTGACTCAATCTACAGTCTCTAACACCGGCTCTTAGTGGGAAGGAAGGGCGGGAAAGTATGAAAGGAGGCAAGTATTACTGGAAATATATTTTCGATTTAAGAAAATGTTAATTGCCAAAACATACTTACCTCCCCTCACACTACAGGTAGAATCCCAAATTGATAAGGTGGAGGGGCCAGTGAGAGCATTATCCAAACATAAAGTGTCTCCATAGATCATGGGTATGTCAATAGAAGATTGGCACCCTTGTGAGGGAACTGCACTACATCCAGAACAGGTATGCTCTTCACCCAGAACTTAGTTCATGTACTGTGGATGGAAGTTTATATGAGTTATCATCACTATTGGCCAGGCCCAACCAGATAGCTGAGATTCCAGTGCTCGGGGTTGGAATTATAAGGCTATGGTTCCTATATTCCACATTGGTGGCTGGGGCAATTGGACTGCAATATATATATGTTTACAAACAAGATCCAAAAGGATCTTTATTTTCTAGAAGAAGACCAGTGAACTATTCGAAAGCTCTCCAGTTTTGGGTTTCATTTGAAAACCATTAAAACTTTTGTATGTGATCCTGGGTGCTAACTTCTTAATCAGAACATATACATATTTATATACTTATGAGTGGATTCCAACCTGTAGCCATAAAGTGATGCATTCTGAGCCATGTTGAGAAGGTAAGCAACATCGAACTAGGCAAACCTTCTCCTCAATCTGAAGTCCAAAAGGCATATTCAACCTGAGGAAAGAGAACTCATCCGGTGTGGAATTATGAACACCCATCTTCACTCCCCAACCATGCAGCAAGACAAATTATTCTTGTCTCTGGAATTATGGGGAGGATGTGGAACAAATTCTGCTCAACCAAGGACCTGGGATGGGATCACTCAGTGTTCAGAATCACAAGGAAACAATGGACCCTCTTTCATGAACAATGTACTGAACCAATATTGATGAAAAAGAAGGGTCATATATAACCCAACTGGATAGCCTAACATCAAATCTGGACTGGTATTATGAATAGGTTCTTGCGTAGGCTGGAACCTCTTCCACCGACATCTGAGAAAAAAACATCCAGGGTCCCAGGTAAAAGGGACCCCAACTTCATCCTCTTCTCCAAAAGTAGAAGAAATTCACTCTGACACTCTGGAGGAAAAGTCTCTATCCACCACTCCAGCGACTGGAAAATGGATGTGGTAAGGACTCCCTTGCTCCACTAGTATAATCTGGGGGGTAATGCACATTAAGAATTCCTGAGGAATAGTGCTTTGGAAACAATGCAATAGGTGAACCTGGTTCCCTAAATTTTTAAAGGCAAACCGACCCCAATATGCTCAGTCCAAAGTCCACAGGGATGGGTGGGATTCTCTTATGCTTTACTCATGATAGTCCATGAGTGGTGGTCCAGCATAGTACAGTAATACCACTCGGTCAGCCTCTAGGTGATTTTATGGAACACCTCTTTTCTACAGAGCCTTTTGCAACCTAGATAAAGTATATTGAATTAGTGTTTGCTAGTGCAGGATTGGTTTGATAAAAGCATAGCTGCCTGGGCAACACTTGCCACAGAGTGGGATCCTGTGAAAACAAAGTAAGGGACCTGAAAGATAAAGACGAAATAAGTGTAGCAATGAAAATACTCACCTCTCTGTATAATCTAACAGAAATGATTAAGATAGCTACAGGGGGTAGTCAAAAACCCTGAGATGAAGATACTGCCAGATCATGCACATAATGTGAGATAAAAATATTGGGGGAGGTCCACATACAATGTCCTCCAGCAAGCAATTCAACCAGATCACTAAAGACATAGAAATGTGATGAATCTCATTAGACGTGACTCGTAGAATTCTCCTCGCCTTCAAAGAAAGCCCAGAATAACCGATATGGATCAATTTTGTACCCACCTTGTCAATGTAGCTGGGGATAAATCCTGCGATACTGAATGATCCCAATAAATAAAAAGTTGTTGTTTAGCATCTCTAAAAGCATTATTGTGGGCAAAAAAACCTTCTAGACCCTCACTGGACATAACAACCGATCAAAATCTGATCAGTCATAGAAGTGAGAAATAATGATCAGTTGAAGCAGCAAAAATAATCTATCCCCTTCCTTTGCTGCCAGTGTTTTAGGGAAGAAGAACCAGTCTGAGGACATAGGCAGAGTGATAAAACATCCTGTGTACAACCAGCATAAACCACTACCAACAGGCAATGTCTGTAGGTCAGCAGCAACGAAAAATAAACCTTCAGGGAAAGGTGATACATGGCACATGAGGCTAAGGTCTCAAACGGGTGTTGAGAAAGGGCATGTAATGTAACCTTAATAAACTAGTTAGGTAACTGGAATGGTCATTTGGAACAAAGGACACAAAGTGATGTGAAAAAGCCAGAGTAATGGGGACTCAATGAATTTTTGTTTCTAGTATCAAACAGTAGTCGATAAAGCCACCTTATACAGGGCAATTGTGGAAGATGCAAAACCATTGGCGAAGAGCCTGGTCACAAAACGAGTTATGATTGGTACTTCTGATTGAAGTAGGTTCAACCTCCTCTCAATACATCATTGCCAATAGGTGTGCCAGTTCCACTGATAAATGTCATTGTGAAACTAAGCAAAGGCTAAGATAGATACATGGCAACCTTATAAATTGAACCCCAATACCATGTAAAGGACTGCATAACCTCCATACCTGAAGTTTGAGCTTCTCAATAGCTGGGTGTACCATGTGGGGTATAAAAGACTGGAGCAAGCAAAAACAAATGCTTAGATGTGCAAAGGAAGAAATCCTGGCAGTTCAGTAATAGCTGTAGTGTGAAAAAGGATATGTGTGTTTTGAAATATACTTTTTTGAAATTGTATATCCTAGTCATGGACCAATAAAGCTATATTTTGTTGTTGTATTTTTAGGATTAATATCTAAAATAATATTCCTGTGAATATTTATAGAATTAAGAAATTTCAGTTTGAATTTTAAAAAATTTTTAGAAAACTGTTAGTATTACATGTAATACAAGTTTTTGTATGATTTACTTCAATCCAAAAACTATATAATTTCAACGTAATATTACACCAATCTGTAAACATTCTCAATTTATACCTTATCATTTAATATATTGTTTGGAAATCTGTTAAATCATAAAATAAACAATGTTATGGGTGTTTTTTTCTGTTTAAATCCTGGCTCACAAGTTCCTGTAGTGATGATATTTCATGTACTAACTTTAATCACATCTCTTCATGTTGAATGTCAATCAAAAACTGATCTGTTATTCAGACTGTAGTCCACACCATCATACTCCCATTTCAATAAATCAGACTAAATTGCAGAACTAAAATTAAATAGGTCACCTGCCATTCTCCAGATCCATGCTTGCACATCATTTCAAAACTGGGTGAAGTGGCTGTGCCATCATGACTTCAATGTCAATAAATGGGTTTCACATCAAGCATAATGATATTAAGAATTCTTAGGGTTATGTGCAATATTTCGATTCCAGAATTTTTAATTAAAGAAGATCATGCTGCAAGAACCTCTACAGTCAAGTAGTTAGGCCTAACTGATTGTTCAGTCGGGAAATGTTCACCATAATGACTGGTGTTAGGGTCATTGTAAATTTGTTATAAACTCAATTTTGGCATTCGTTTTTTTTTTTTAAGTGAATACCTGACAGTATTTTTCATTAACCTAAAATTATACTGTCATTTTTTTTCTTATAATTTCATCTTTTCAATTTCATATAATTCATAACAATACAGTATTGCAAATATTGATTATACAGTGTAGCCCCGTTATAACGCGATCGTTGAGGTCCATAAAATGTCATCGCGAAACATGCGGTCTCCCGCTAAATTGGAGTTTTGTAAAAAAACACTTAAAATATCAAAATTTATTAGTATGTAAACTATAACAAGATTATGGTTATGAGGTCGGTCCCAGGGACCGAGCGCGTGTCGAAAGAGTTAATGACCCATCGCGTTATATCCAAATTCGCTTTAAATCGGGGTGCCTAAATACGGGGTTTCACTGTACAACTGTGTTTAAAGAATTCTTTATGCACAGCATGATGGATGCACCAGTTAAATTCTAAAATCAAATGCTTTTATCTTCTTTTTCAGATCAACACCTGTGATTTGAACTTGATTTTCTTTACGTACAAGTGCATGTTTCTGAAAGTTAAACCTTTCTTCTAACTCTTTTGACCACATCTTGTCCAAAAATATAAAACCATCCAGTTAATGTTCTTAAGATATCAAGAAGTCTAATAAAATACAAGTTTTATTATTGAAAGGAAAATGAAACCTTTTTTTTTTTTCAGTGAATTCTTGGAGCTTGAACAGCACCACGAAAGCAAACTGCATTTTTATTAAACTAAAAAAAAAAAAAAAACTAAAACTATAGAAATCAAGCTCAGATTGTTGATCTATAAGTTAAATTAGTTACATTCATTGCTGGGCAAACAATAACTACTGTAGCATACATGACATCCATAGGTTTTGAACAATAACTGCTTAGTTTAAGATTGTTTGTTGAGAGATTGCACAAATCGTTCAACCAACAGAAACTACTTCATCCATAACATCATCAATGGCACAACAGTAAGTCTGCAGGCTTGAAACACTAAAAACTAAGGTTTGATACCCATGGTGGGTAGAGTACAGATAGCCCATCATGTACTTTTGTGCTTAACAGTAACTATAACTTTTTTTTCAATGCTTAAGCAATAACATTAAAAGTATTAAAAATTGGCTCTTGATTCAAAACATGAATTTTGTTTTAAACTGTTTGACCCATAACATGAAAATTATTAAGTAGTTTAGCAGGAAATGTTATGAATTACCTTTTTCTTTCTGTAATTTTCCATGATCATCATCTTCTTTGGAGTCAAAGCTGTCACTTTTTTCTAAAGATCCTTTTTCTGGATATGCATCAACTAACTCTTTGTCAGAATGGCATTCTATATAATCATCATTACTTATTCTGTGTTCTAATGAATATTCAGGAGGTAATAAATCCTCAAACAGGCCATCATTCTTGTTCCACTCAATGTCAATGCTTGACTTTAACTCAGGAAAAGTAAAGTTTGACCAAGCTGGATGTTTATTAGTGGCTATTTCTGGTAATTGTTCTTTTATGCCCTCTGTTTGAGTTTCCCCTTCAATGTCTTCAATAACAGAAGAGCATGCTGTGTGATACAAAGCATCATTTTCTGGCTGTTCATTTGTCTGTATATTGTTTTCTTCAAGCAGACTTTCTTGTCCTTTTGTCTCAGCTGAGTTCTGTGGTATTGTTGTGACTACCAATGTTTTAAGATTTGCAGGTCCTATCTCACTGGTTTCAATACGAGCCATAACAGGAACCTTATTGAAAATTTGTGTCTGAGCAAAATGAGGACCAGAGTAAAATGACACACTACTTTCTGATTCCTCAAGTGATTTGGTTTTGTTTCTTGTTCTCTTTGGAGGAGTTCCAATAGGCAGAAGTCTTTCTTCTGCTGGAAAATGTCTGTGAGCAGGCCAGTCTAAGTACTTTGGTGTCTGAACTGCCTTTTCTGTTTCAAAAGCTTCTAATATCCTTCTTTGAGCTGCTTCTTCAGAAGATTTTACAGTTACTAAATTCTGTGGATAGCATTTTGAAACTGTGTCCTCACTTATACTTCTGTTAGTTGGATATGATGCTGCTCTCAGATTTTTCTCTGGTATTCCAATTGGCAATAATCTTTCAGGATTTGGTTTATTTGAAATCGGCTCTAGATGAATTGGTCTATGAATTTCAACGTGCCAAAGAGACTTGCAATGATCATTTTGTTTATCACCAGTAGAGACAACCTTTTTGTCATCATGATAGGATAATGTAGAAACATTGCTTTCTGTTCCAAACATACTGCAAAGCTGTTTCACGTGCAAATTTTCATGACTGACATTCTTGATTTCACCAACTTTACTTTCTATTTCAGAAACTTTCAACTTCTCATTATGAACAGGTTTCACTTTAAGCGATCCTGTATCAAATGCACCCATTCTCTGAATTCGAGGCTTCTGTTTCATTGGATCCGTTTGTGAATAGCTTATAGTACACTTTTCTATCCCTGCATCATAACTGGAAGAAACGATTTCTTGATTATAAGGTTCTTTTGACTTTCTTTTGGATACTGTAATACCAGAACTAAATTCTCCTGTGCTGCTAGACATCTCCTCTCCTTGTGCACGTACAACAGTATTCACCTTAGAACTTACAGATGGATAAGGATGTGATACTCTATGTGTGTAATCCCTTGATTTTAAAAGACATACAGTTCTGTTGTCTTTACCAACTCCTGCTTCTTTCGTTTGTACAGTCTTGCTAGCAACCTTTTCTGTGAATGCTGGTCCCATAATGACATCTTTACCAACTCCTGCTTCTTTCGTTTGTACAGTCTTGCTTGCAACCTTTTCTGTGAATGCTGGTCCCATAATGACATCTTTACCAACTCCTACATCTTTGGTTTGTACAGTCTTGTTTGCTACTTTTTCTGTAAATGCTGGCCCCATAATGGCATCTTTGGTTTGTACAGTCTTGTTAGTTACCTTTTCTGTGAATGCTGGCCCCATAATGACATCTTTACCAACTCCTGCATCTTTGGTTTGTACAGTCTTGCTATCTACCTTTTCTGTAAATGCTGACTCCATAATGACATCTTTACCAACTCCTGCATCTTTGGTTTGTACAGTCTTGCTAGCTTCTTTTTCTGTGAATGCTGGCCCCATACTGACAAATGGTGGTTCACTGACATAAACTTGTAAAGAATTGTTTATAAACTGTTTGCTCGATGATACAGACAAGGAATGAGGCTCCTCTTTGTAACCAGTAGGTTTTGGAACCAACAATCCCTCTGATGCAGACTGAGGAAAAACAGTAGAACAGACTTCAGTCTCAATTTTCAATATTTGTTGTTGATCATTAAAAACCTCAGGCTTATTAACATGACAGGTCATTTCAGGTGAGTTGTAAGTATCATAAGGTTCCATGGCCTCATAGATTTCAGTTGATAGCATAGGTTGAAGGATTTTCATGTTTGTATTACTTTGTTCAGTGTCCAAAACTCTGGCACATGTAACTTCCATTTTGAATTCATCTTTCTCCATAGACTCGTGAACAAATTTTTCAACAGGGACATCTCTGACTGACCGACAATCGCCATGATCTGTTTCCAAGATTTCTGAAACCGGAAAAGCTGAGATGCCATCTTGTGAAATATAGGTGTCTTTTGGTGCCTGATTAGAACAGACATTGGTAGTTTTTGAAGGATCAAATACAACTACATGATCTGTTAAACCATTGTCTTTAACCACCCTAACTCTCGCCTGTTCTGTTAAAACAGAAACAGTTTCAATAGATGAGAGTTCAAGTTCTCCAGTATCTTTTCCAGAGCTTTCAGACTTAGGGCTTTCAGGAATTGCTTCTAATTCTGGTTCAACATCATCATCACAAGAACAACCATAATCTAATAATTTTTTCGTTTTCCAGTCAGCCTTTTCTTTATAAATCATTGGTTGATCTTTCCCTATTTCTGAAAAAGAATTTTCTCCTAATGCTTTGTGGTGAAGACCTCTAAGGTTGGTAACTGTTGCAGTAAAAGACAATTTCACTTCATCTGTTGAAGAAGGCGGTTCATTTGGAGGAGTATAGTGCTCTTGTAAATTTTCAACATCACCTGACACACAACTGAAATCTAGAACAAAAAAATTAAAGAAAGCATTTTATCAGGAGCTTCAGTATGGAATCTTAAGATAGCAAAAACTAGATAATTACAAACGACTATAATTTTTGTGTTTTATAATTAAAGAATTCCTTATGCATTAACAGTATGATTACATTTTAGCCAGAGTTGTCTTTAAAGTGGGAAGGGGGGGGGGTGATACATCTCTTTTAAATACCACAGAGGTACTTGTGGATATGTATATATGGAAGACTTTCTGATATTTTTATAATTTCATTAAATACTTTTTTTAATGTGCACAAGACAAAATGACTTTTTTTGGCTTGTGATAACCCTTTAATGATTAAAATGAAAACTCTTAATATAATTCAACCATAAAACATCCTGTCTGTTTATGGCCTGAAATTTTCTCTTTGTTTTTTTATATTTAAAAAATGTCATAATAAAGTAAACAGTAATAACCAACACACATTAAAAAAACTAAGTTCTGTTTCAAATATACTTTCATTGGTGTATATAAAATAAGCCCATTGAATTTGATAAAAAATTTGCTAATGTATCCTTACTTTATAGAAAGTTACAATGTATTAAAAAAGTCCAATATTATTATTTGAATAAGTTTTCATCAATTCATTTTTAAAATGAATCCACATTTCAAACATCATGCATCAAAATCTAAAAGTCAATTTCAATAATGTTTAAAATTACTAAAAACCAAGATGTCCAAGTTAATTTAGAATCAGTAATGCACAGATATCATGAACATAGATCACTAACACTAGATTTGATAACCCTAGCTAAGCCTAACTCTACCCATGTTTATAATTTTCACCACAGTTGTACATATAAAAACTCTTAAGTTCAAATCTATGATGACTTATGGTCAATAATGTCATCATTGTTGTAAATGTTTCACCCGATGTATCAAAGGATTAATCCTAATCAAAGAATTGACGATGTCATAGATGCTTAATCATTTTAATATGTCATTTCAAAAGAATTATACAACCAACTCGTAAAACAAAATACAACAAAAATGTATAGCTTTAAATTTCTGAAGAAACAGGTGTTACCTGAAGATACCACATATAAAAGAAGACACCAATTGTAAAGAATTAGTAATAATTTACTATCTTCACCAGTGAAAGTATTTGTATGTCATGAATTTAGGCACACACAATATTTCTTTAATGACATTGTAATTGTTTCACCCATTGACTAATTCTGCCACAAAATAAACACACAGTCATGACTTTGAAGTGAAATAGTTATAATTAACACTAAAAGTTATTTATAAATTTTTAAAAATACCTTTTTATAAGGATCTTTAAACAGATAAATGAAATCAAGCATTTATAAAATAACTGGCATGGAATGTGTTTTCTTTCACACACACATATAACTAACTTCAAGTTAAAAAGCAATGTTCACACAAAATACCTCGAAATCGTGAAGGAACAGGACTTAGAAGAGGACCAGTGGAATATTTGCACACGTGGTGTTGAGCCTCTAAAGTGTTGAGAACAATGTGAATAAGCATCTGTATTTGTTTGCAGTATGGTGGACTACTGTAGCGATACTAAAATTGAAAATAAAACCAGTGGTAAGAGAGATGTAAACATTACATAAAATCATGTCACATCACTGAAATGAATGAATAAATCATGTGCGTAAAAAATGGAAGAAGAAAAAAGTTGACATCTTTATCTAAAGATTTTCTATGATATTCCTTTTAAACTAAATCAAACTTTTAGGGATAATAAAGTAGCTGTCGATATCAGGCACATGTTAAGCTGTGTGTTTTTTGCTTTACATTTTCTTAAACCATTTAGTTGGTCTTTTTTCTTTTGATAGATGAAACTAAATATATTACTGTACCATATAACAACTAATGTTTTTTGACTTATTTAACTTTAAGTCTTTAAGTCTATGAAAGAATTTTTTTTGTCAAAAATATAATAATATTTGATTATAATCCCCTTGCACATCATAGAACATAACAATACACCTGTAATAATAGTCTTAAATAACATACTTAGAATAACAAAATTCCACTGGATTAATTTGAATTACTACACATTTATAATTCAAATATCCAAAAACAAGATCTGAGGCAAACGACACTCTTTCTTACCAAATCAAGTAAGAATGTAATGTAATGTAAAGACTGTGAATAAATAATCCAATACTGTTTGTAGAATGTGTGGCTTAATATAAAGCTATGGATAAATAATGCACCATGATTGTAAGAAATTTATGGAAAAACAGTAAATAATGAACTCACATTGATAACGAAATACAGGACATTAGGCGAACTAGACAGATGCCTAGAGCCACTGTGTACAATCTGTAGTGTGTGTTCCCCCCGGAAGGGGGGTCATGGAGAGTCAGAAGAGGGACAAGTAACTATAACTGTAGGAACATATTATAAATGAAAGTACAAATTTGAAAATAAAGAAGTTTTAAAAATTACAGTACAAATATTACTACTGTTAAGTAATATCGTAACATGGGAAAACAAACAAAGATAGACATTAGACTATCTGTGCTCTGCCCACCATGGGTATCAAAACCTGGTTTCCTACATTATAAGTCTGCAGACATACCACTGTGTCACTGGGGTGCAAAATGATAATGACATGTACAGTCTATACACAAATAGGTAATGTGGGGAGGCAAAATGCATGTTAGAAGGGGAGATCTCCACACCACCTGTTTAAGACATCATACATGTGAACCTGTATGGACAATTTTTTACTAATGTATAACTTCAATTGAAAAAAAAAATGCTCCCATTTTTTTAAAAACCTATTATTTAAAACATTATTTTTTGCGTATTTATAAATAAAAGATCAATATAACCTGTGAAGGATCAACATAATCCATGTAGGATCAATATAACCTGTGAAGGATCAATATAATCCGTGTAGGATCAACATAACCTGTGAATGATCAATATAATCCATGTAGGATCAATATAACCTGTGAAGGATCAACATAATCCGTGTAGGATCAATATAATCCGTGTAGGATCAATATAACCTGTGAAGGATCAATATAACCTCTGTTCTTTGTTTTATATTTCCTACTGTTTAGTTGAATCTAAGTGCTGTCATACATTCAGCTAATGATTGGCTAATTATTAACTTGTAATAAATTTTATAATAGAAAATTATCATCTTTAAATGTTCAATGACAAGGTTTTTCAATTGTAAGTTCATCTATTTTCACAGGTTTTGAGATTCGGTCTGAAGAGAAGTTATTATTTAAACACAAGATTTTTTTTTATGTAGGATTATATTTAAAAAGTTTTTTTTTTAACTAAAAAGACAGACTGAAACCCTATATTAATACTTTTCAGAATTGTATAATTGAGAAGAAAAAATTAAATAAAGACTTTGACTTCCAGCATCTTAGAGTGTTACCCCAAACTCTCTTGCTTTCTGACCCGGACCCGCTTTGCTTGCTTGCCTATAAGTGCTTCACATTGTTGTACCTTCGACAGTAAACTGTAGTAACTAGTTTATCACAATTTTTTTTTCTGCAGCCACACCATTTGATATCTAACGTAGAATGGGGGGGGGGGGGTGAATATTTACAGAGGTCTAGGATTTTTCTAAAGTGAAAATACAATAATATATCATTTGGCATTGGATTGTACTGCAGCTTTACAACACATCTAGTGTGTATGTGTTGAGAATGCTTTTGGTTTTATTTAAATATCTTCATGAAATCTTCTAAAAATACACTTTAAAGAACATTTTCGTGACTCAATTTTACCTTGTACAAAATTACAAGAGTAGCCACCAACCATGAGTGTCGAGCATGCGAATCCAGCAACCATAATGAGTAGCTGGGTAATTGATGTTCGTATGCAAACCTCTGGGGAGATGGGCAGTAAATCAGAACAGGAAGACAAACGTTGAGAAGTATGTTCCCTATTTTGAAGTTGTAGTCCAGGACCTAAAATTTAATAATACTTTCACTGAAACAATTTAATATGTTAAAATACAATATAGAAATACCATTCACAAACATTTGGTCAATAGCATCATGTAACCTTTAATAGGACAGAGATTTTGGTTAGACACATTCAAGGACAATTAGTCCACTTTCATGGGACAGAGAATCTGGTTAGAGACGTTCAAGGACAATTAGTCCACTTTAATAGGACAGAGAATCTGGTTAGAGACACTCAAGGACAATTAGTTCACTTTCATGGGACAGAGATTCTGGTCAGGGACGTTCAAAGGATAATTAGTCCACTTTCATGGGACAGAGATTCTGGTTAGAGACGTTCAAGGACAATTAGTCCACTTTCATGGGACAGAGATTCTGGTCAGGGACGTTCAAAGGATAATTAGTCCACTTTCATGGGACAGAGATTCTGGTTAGAGACGTTCAAGGACAATTAGTCCACTTTCATAGGACAGAGAATCTGGTTAGAGACGTTCAAGGACAATTAGTCCACTTTCATGGGACAGTGATTCTGGTTATAGACACTCAAGGACAATTAGTCCACTTTT